ATAGATCTCATAACAACTGCTAATGACAAGGCATACATAGATCTCTTAACAACTGCCAATGACAAGGCATACATAGATCTCTTAACAACTGCTAATGACAACGCATACATAGATCTCTTAACAACTGCCAATGACAAGGCATACATAGATCTCTTAACAACTGCTAATGACAAGGCATACATAGATCTATTAACAACTGCTAATGACAAGGCATACATAGATCTATTAACAACTGCTAATGACAAGGCATACATAGATCTATTAACAACTGCTAATGACAAGGCATACATAGATCTCTTTAACAACTGCTAATGACAATGCATACATAGATCTCTTAACAACTGCTAATGACAAGGCATACATAGATCTCTTAACAACTGCCAATGACAAGGCATACATAGATCTCTTAACAACTGCTAATGACAAAAGATTTATGTATGCCTTGTCATTAGCAGTTGTTAATAGATCTATGTATGCCTTGTCATTAGCAGTTGTTAAGAGATCTATGTATGCCAACTGCTAATGACAAGGCAGGCATAGATCTCTTAACAACTGCTAATGACAAGGCAGGCATAGATTTCTTAACAACTGCCAATGACAAGGCATTCATAGATCTCTTAACAACTGCTAATGACAAGACATACATAGATTTCATAACAACTGCTAATGACAAGGTATACATAGATCTCATAACAACTGCTAATGACAAGGCATACATAGATCTCTTAACAACTGCCAATGACAAGGCATACATAGATCTCTTAACAACTGCTAATGACAACGCATACATAGATCTCTTAACAACTGCCAATGACAAGGCATACATAGATCTCTTAACAACTGCTAATGACAAGGCATACATAGATCTCTTAACAACTGCCAATGACAACGCATACATAGATGTCTTAACAACTGCCAATGACAACGCATACATAGATCTATTAACAACTGCCAATGACAAGGCATACATAGATATCTTAACAACTGCTAATGACAAGGCATACATAGATCTATTAACAACTGCTAATGACAAGGCAGGCATAGATCTCTTAACAACTGCCAATGACAACGCATACATAGATGTTGTCATTGGCAGTTGTTAAGAGATCTATGTATGCGTTGTCATTAGCAGTTGTTAAGATAGATTTATGTATGCCTTGTCATTAGCAGTTGTTAATAGATCTATGTATGCCTTGTCATTAGCAGTTGTTAAGAGATCTATGTATGCCATTTGAATATTTTTCCAATAATTAGTTTTTGTTCTTGATTCATGTTTGCCAACATGGGCCATAAAAAGTAAAATTCAAAATTTCAAAACTTTTATGAATTTTGCAGTGATAAATCTAAGTCTCTATTAAAATAAAACTTAAGATTTCTTTAGTTACAGCAGTATATAACAGTGACTCCCATACATATTATAGCATGAAAATTGAGTTAAACAGTTGTGATTAAACAAAAGTAGTGAAAGTAATGGCAAAAAAAATATGAAAAGCCAGAGGAAACTGATATCTAAAAACATTTATTCAAGGAAATGGAAAAATGTTTATGAAATTACATAATAATTTTTTTATCTATCAAAGTTATTCCTGAAATTAATTTTTAGTGGTAGTGTATGATGGCAGTTGCTTATTAGCCTTGTTTTATTGCTTATTAAAATTTATAATAAGTGCACTATTGAAGTAACTGTAATAAGACAGTAAGATTATATATTAGTGAGTACAAAGAAACTTATTTCCATTTTGCTCTGAATAGAATAAGAAACAAGTTTAATTATCTTTATTCATTAAAATTGATTTTGCTTGTTGTGTTTTATTTATTTTCAGACCAGAAATCTCTTAAGTCTATTAAAAGTATTTTAGCCAGTGGAACTGATCTTTGCAAACTTGGACCAAAAGGAAAACTATATTGCCGACATTATTATATTGATGTACAGAATTTGATGTTGAAATATCGAGGCTCAAAAAAAAAGTTCGATGTCAGCAACCGAAGTTTTGTAAGTCGTATTTTTATTATTTCTTGGGTATACTGGTTTATACACACCTCATGTGCTCGCACTTATGTACATGAATACACTGTATTAGTAACTTCCATAGATAAAGAAACTTAACAGAGGAATTGCAATTAAAATAAAATGTACCAAATGTTATACTTATAGTTGGGTGGATATGGTATATATCAAAATGTCCACTTCTGAAATCTGTCATGAAAGTTTGCTTGAGGGGGATTTCAGACAAGCTGATTTCAAAAATAATCAGACAATTTTTTCCATATCAAAATAACATCTCAACATACATGTGCCTCAATTTTGAGTAATGCTGATGATCCACTGAAACGTCCAAGGGTCTACGGAAGGTGGCCTATTTATTGCACATTCAGAAAATGTAATTCTGACTTCTTTATCCTTGCATCACTATCAAACGGAACATCTTCGGAAATGCTCTCTAGAAATGCACTGCATGCACAAACCTGTAAGATGTACAGAGCTGCTAAAGTGACATTCTGATCCCACTGTGCTTTTGGCTTTTGTGAAAGCTTTTAAAGATCATCAGCTTGACCTTCTCTAGTGATGTTTACTAACAACTTTCAGCATTGCCATCTCTGTGTGCAATCTTCCCATCAGAACAACATATTTGCCTTACTTTGTATATACCACACCATACCCACAGAATCTTTATCTTTTGGTCAATGCCATAAAGAAAGGATAGACAACAGTTAATAAAGGAATCTATATATGGTTGAAATATTCTGTAGCTTGTTGAATAAGGTTCATCCCAGGCTTCACCATGGCCCCTGAATGAGCTCTATCTGAAAAGAGAGTTATTAGGTACGGGATTGGTCAAGACTGGCGTGGTTAACAGACCAGGATGTATATAATCATCTTTATTCAAGCTGTCCTCTTGCTTGAGCTGATACACACAAATTGTAGTTAAGTACATAATACCATGTAAAATATTCTAAAAGTTTAAATCCACCGTTATGAAACAACAGTAAACTTGTGTGGTTACAAGTTTCAACATTTTCACATGTTCTCGTCAGTCTGTTGATGTTGGGGTTGTGTAATAACGGATCTAAGCTTTAAGATATGCACAGATGTGCCATGTGTTTTGTTTGATCAAAGTTCACCAAATTAGTCGGGAATGACAGGGATTTCAGAGGGAGGTAGTTGTAAGTTGTCCTTGGGAAGTACAGCAGGTGCAACATGGCTGTAATTATCTGGTTGTGATCAGATAGTTTTGGATCTAAGTGTTTCATCTGAAAGGTGTGCCCAAACATGAGATTTGGAAACGCCATTATTAATATCAGTTACATACTAAGTTAGGGATTAAGCTGTCCCATGAAAGGTGATTTTCTTTGCATGGTAGGACACGCAACGCTGTATTTTTCAAACTGATAGATGATATGATGGGTTTTCATTGGTAGATTTCTATTATAAGACATTGAAAGTCCCTTTTCAAACATAGTATGCACATAAACTTTATTTCGTTGTTGTTTCTTTTGTTGTGAACCAAAAAAGAAAAGCAGCAAAATTTCCCCCTCTGAGCTATGTTCTATATTTGAGCTTACATTTGAATTATATTCAAAAATTTGAAGACATTGGAGTCAAGGACAAACATGAAGCTTTTTCAACAACTTTGACCTTAGACAGGAGCTTAATTCGAAACAATATGTGAGAAATTTACAGCTGTGATCTTGAAAACAGAAAACAAAAAAAAAAGGTGAAGAACATGCAAAAAAGTTTTCATCTGTGTATATTAGCTAACAGGGCTTTGCTCATTGAACGTGGAAAAAAAAGGAAATATAAGATCTTTTAACATGAACTTGATTAGGATCATATTACCCTGTATATCATAATTAACTCTGTGACAACTCTAAACTCCTTTCTTTTCATATCATTGAAGTTTTACTGAATAATATTCAAAATTTAATTAAACAACTTTACTATCAGTGTTGACTCTCATTCAAAATTTTAATGAACTACTTTTTATGAATTTATGTCAATAAGTTTGGTATCAAATTGTAGATTATAATTCATAATTTAGTATTATACATTATTTAATTTCTTAATGTAAAAGTAAATATTAAAAAAATACACCTAAACATCGATGTTTGTGTGTCACGTGGTATGTGGAATGCAGCACTGGTTCAGAGTAGATGTTTGTGATGTCCAAGTACAAAGTCTATATGTTCTTATAAATTAAGACCTCAAATTACTGATATTGACAAGCTAGAATATAAAATAAGAACCACCTCTCTTTTCAATTTGCTGAAATATCACTTATGTACTGAACCACACACAGTGGCCCCGCCCACCTCTTTCCATTTTTGGAAACACTTCATTATTTCTGTCTATGACGTGAGTAACCAATCAAAAGCTCAGAATGTCCTCCTAGTGGCTTTCTCAGCCATTTTGAAGTATTATGATGTCAACTCATTCTTTCAATACAAGTCTTCAAGCTGGTAAGTTGAGTCTTTAGTCTGCTTGAAAACAAAGACTCAAAGTTTAAAATCAAAGACTTTTAACCTTTGTCTTGTACATGATTAACTAGAAATCCCAGCTTAGTAACAACACATAGTTTTAATCATTACAGGTAGCAAACTAAACTAACATAAATTTTTAAAAGCAATACACAGTAATTAAAATAGAACAAAGAGAAAGCTAGAGAAGTGAAATTTAAACAAATCACTAACAGTAATGCCTATGCACACTCAAACTTATAAACCCTTAGATTGTTATACAATTAAGATTTCATTATATTATCGCAAATGTTTGCCTAGCCCAACTAGTAATGAGTTCATCCTAAATCATGTGCTTGTGACTCTATTAGTGCTCTATCATATAGGGTATTTTAGCTCATTTGGGCTTTGTTCATTAGCAGTTGTTAAGTTGAACCTGCCTATATGGACTTTGATGAAAAAGAGAATTATTTAAAGCTCTGGATACAACTGTGATAACCAATGGTGTAATGAATCTTGTACGTACATTTGACTTGTTTTGATATATTATTTTTAAACAAGTGGATTGTGTGCTGTCCGTTTATTGTTGAAATTTTCCACCAACAAGTCACAGACATCTACTGTAAAGAATCCTGCCCACACATACTTAAAAACTTGACACACATTTCGCCCTTCACCCTTTTACATAAGGTTAATATACATTCTATACAAGCTAGACTCTTCTGAGCTGTGCAGAAATGAAAATTTTAATATTTTTTTTCTTATGAATTGGTGAACTAAATAATTGTTACAATATGAAAATATATTGATTCTAAAATATTTTTTGAGTTAGAAACTGTTGAAATACGGTTATAACTAATTTTCCAGAAATTTTATATGCTGGTGTTCTTTTGACACCTGGATAGGCTTAAAGGAAAATGTGAAATTTGGAAGTATCTTGGCAGGATTGTAGCTCAAAGCTTAGGGTATATAAATGGTTACTTTAGAACACCCTTTGACAATACAAATTATTCTCCTCTACTCTGTTGTTACAATACAAATCTGTGAAACTAACTTTAGAAATTGCCCATTACCAGCTAATTCACATGCAGTCTAACTTTACTTTCACTAACTTAACATCATTGCAATAACTTTGTTATATATATATATAAATATACATTGCCAGACTGAGGCCTAGAACTTTCCACAGACTACAAAATACTCACTTAAAGCAACAAGAAAAATTCAGAAGGTTCGAGTAGCATAACGTCAATTCACAACTGAACTACACAACAAATGATTCATAAATAGTTATGTAAGCAACTTGCTCTAATTATCACTTCTGAAATAACCTACTTTAACACTCACACAACATAAACTAAATAATACCCTTGTATTAAATATAAAATGAGCTGTCATGTATATCTAACATTGTGCATTCTACAACCTTGTACAAAGTATTGTTACGTCTCCGTTTGTTAATTAATTTCCCGTAAATTCGTTCCGATGAAACTTTAGTGACACAAGTCCTTACTTAATAAAACTGGTTTATTCTTTCCGAATATAACTTTATGATACACTCAACTTCAACAATCGCGCTAAAACAAAAGCTATAACAACGAACGTGCTCAACTTCAACAATACTTTTTGACTGCAGTTCAATTACTCACTGTCTA